CTTTCTTTCTTTCTTTCTTTCTTTCTTTCTTTCTTTCTTTCTTTCTTTCTTTCTTTCTTTCTCCCTTTCCCCCTCTTTCTTTCTTTCTTCCTTCCTTTCTTTCTTTCTTTCTTTCTTTCTTTCTTTCTTTTTTATTGTTGTTTGTTTGTTTGTTTGTTTGAGACAAACTCTCTGTGTGTAGTCCTGGATGTCTTGGAACTCACTTAGACCAGACTGTCCTGGAACTCAGAGATTTGCTTGCCCCTGCCTCCCATGTTCCCAAATGCTGAGGTTAAAGGTGTGAGCCACTACTGACTAACAAAAGGATATGCTGCTGTGTAGGAGAAGCTAAGGTGGGAGGAGTAAGGAGAGGAAGAGGAAAAGGAAGAGGAGGAGCAAGGAGAGGGAGAAGGCAGAGATGTAGGAGGATGGAGAGCCACACAGGTATGGAGAGCAGTCCTGGGTAACAACTTATATGTAGGTTAGCTAATTGGGAAACACCTCAAATTGTATGAGCATATTGTTATTGAGCATTACCAATCATATAAAGCCTTTGATTGATTTTTAAGCATTAGAGTCTCATTTTCTACCATGCCCATGTGGATGGCAGGATGGTCTAGACAAAGCCTAGCCTTACAGAGACAGAATGGAAGATTGGCAGAGCCATCTCCCACGCTGGCATCTTGTGGGTGGCAGGGCTGGTGTTTCTGGCCACCTGAGCTGGCGGTCTGAGCCAAGTGGCAGTGAAAATACGCTGCCGCTCGTGGCCACAGGCCTTGCCTAGGTAGAAACATGGTGCCCCGATTCGAAAGACAGATCGGGTGCCACTGTTTTATAGTATCTCCCGCAACACTGCTGCGTGTGTGTATGTGTGTGTGTGTGTGTGTGTGTGTGTGTGTATGTATGTATGTATGTATTGGCCAGGGTTTCTCTGTATAGTCCTGCTTGTCCTGGAACTCATTCTGTAGACCAGACTGTTCTTGAACTCAGAGATCTGCCTGCCCCACCCTCCCTTCTTTTTAAATGTCTCAGTGATTTTTATATTGCTGAGACAAAACACAGTGACTAAGGAAATTTATAAAAGAAAGCATTTAATTTGAGGGCTCACCATTCTAGCACCATTCTAGAGGCATAGAGCCTATGACATCATGGCAGGAAGCATGTCAACAGGCAGGCAGGCATGGCACTGAACAGTGGCTGAGAGATTATATCTGATCCACAAGCAGAATGCACACACACACACACACACACACACACACACACACAGAGAGAGAGAGAGAGAGAGAGAGAGAGAGAGAGAGAGAGAGAGAGAGAGAGGAGAGAGAGGATCAGGAGTTAAGGGCACTGTTTTCTCTTGCAGAGGATCTGGGTTCAATTCTCAGCACTCACATGGCAGCTTACAACCATCTGTAACTCTAGTGCTAAGGGATCTAAACCCTCACACAGACATAGGTGCAGGCTAAACACCAAGGCACATAAAAAAATAAATTTAAAAGAGAAGCTTCTTTAAGAACAACACTTATATCTGTGGGTATGCGAATATTTGGAATGCAGTTTATAATTATGTTTGTTTAGGGAAATGACACCAGTAAATTCTCCTCTAGGGTCTATGACCTCTTTAGCCACAGGTGCTGACTAGAGAGACTAATGTTACCAGGCATGAATTCTTCCCCATCAAGCAGGCTGCAAGACTGATCACAGCTGTTAATTACTCTAGAGGTCAGAGCATCATTCTTGCATCATCAAGGATATCTTGAGGGTCTGGCTATCACTGAAGTTCACAGGCTCCACATCTGGGTAGGATGACTGATCTCTCTCCCTAGGCAGCTTGAGAAGCACCTTCTGGTACCAATCAGTCAGTCTAATTTTAATTAGACCTCAGAGGCTTCAAGGCCATCCTGTGTACCCAGAGGAGACATGGATTCTAGTGGTAACTACGACAGTCAATGAGCTTGTCTATGAGCCAGGAAACTCAAGTTATTACTGTAATACAATCTACCCCCTGGTTTAGTTCCCATAAATGGAGCCAGTTCTGAAAGAAAGTTGAGAGGGGCTTTAAATGAGAAAGGTGGGGAGGTGAAACCAAGTGGATGAACATGGAAAAACCTCATAAGGCCTAAATCCTGTGCAGATTGGTGGGGTTTTCCCCACAGATTACACAATTGAAGTATCCTAAAACACAAAGACAAGTTTCCCTGTTATAAGTAACACTGAGAGGCAGCCACAGCTGGGGAACATCCTCTGTTTCTGGTCTGTGTCTCTCAGCCAGTCTCTCACTCTGTGCTCTGATGTACTCCTTCACTCCCTCCCTGGTCTCTAAAGAGGTCCTGTGCAGAAGCCACCATCTCTCATCTTCTTCCCAGTCCTCTAATCTGCCATCCCCACCCTCAGGCCACTCCTGGGGAATGACTCTACCTTGTATCCATTCCTTGGATACATTTAGGAAAAAATTTCCTCCTTAGCCTGGACATGATCCTAAGTCAGGCTGACTGAGTTTACACCCGGGTGGCACATTTAGAACCTGTCTAAACCATAATAAAATAAAGTAAAACACAGATTGACACGGGTGCCAAGATACTGTCACTGAGGAAAAAGGAAACCCACAACACAGTGTTTCATGTGAGTAGAGCGGCCAAGAATCAAAGTTGGATAGCGAGCACTAGTGCAGGGACGGAGAAACTGGAACTTTTATATGCTGACTGATGGTAAAAACTGCTGGGCCAGCAAGATGGTTCAGTGAGCAAATGTGCTTCTCACCAAGGCTGACAACCTGAGTTCAAGTCCCTAGACCCATACAGTAGGAAAAAAAACAGCCCATTCCCAATCCTCTGACATACACACACACACACATGCACACATGTGTGCATGCCCACACACTGTACTACGCATGTCCTGTAACCAGTAAATAAATAAACATAAAAGCAAATAGTATAATGATACAATCCTTTGAAAAAACAGTCTGGCCTGATGTGGTGGTACATGCCTTTGATCCCAGAACTCTCAGAAGCAGAGGCAGACAGAGGCAGATAGATCTTTGTGAGTTCAAGGCCAGCCTTGTCTATATAGCAAGTTCGAGGACAGCCAGAGCTATATAACAGAGAGACTCTGTCTACTAACTAACTAAAAAAAGACACACTAAAAGCAAAGCAGTCTGACTGTTCGGCACATAATTAAGCATGTTTCTATATGACCCAACAATTCTACTCTGAGTCATATACTCAAGAGAAATGAAAATATTACACACAAAAAAAACCTTGAAAAAAGTGATTACAGCAGTGTTATTTATAGTAGCCAAAAGGCAGACCCAGACCAAAAGTCCATCATCAGATGACTGGATAAACAAAGGCTGTATATCCTTGTAATGAAATATTATTTGGTTGATGAAAATGATAAAGTATCTGGTCATAAAAAGTATTGGTGGGGTTGTGGATAGTTTCGTAGGTGAGCACTTGCCTTGACAATATAATGCTGAAGGAAATAAGCCAGACTTATTGAATCCTTCCCTTTAAATAAAAGACCAGAATAGATCAATACATGGAGTCAAAAGCCAATGAGTAGGTACTAGGGTGAAGGAGGCAGTGACTGTCCATGAGGAAGAAGTTTTCTTTCAGTGAGAACGTTCTAGAATGGACTGTGGAAATGATGATTCAACCCTGTGAATATACGAAAACAAAACAAAAAAATAAACAAAAACCAGAAATAGTTGAGTTGCATGCTTTACCTGGCTAAATTGTAAGCTATGTGCATTAATATACAGATGTAAAGTACCTGTCATCCTTACCACTCACTTTGCTGTTACTGAGTATGAGAAACGTTTAAGGAGAGGTTGAGCCTTGCTCTTGATGGAATCACTTTTGGCCAGCAGGTGGCACTGCTAGCCTGTTCCTGTCTTCTGCCTCAATCCAGACACAGCTGGTTCAGCTACATCCTATTGCCAAGGGGCAAATGAACTGTGTGGGAAACAACCAGGGTAGTCTTCCACAAACTTAAAAAAAAAAAAAAAGAGGAGCTCGAGTACCAAAGAGAATCCACCTTGGCCCTGTGAGGCGGCAAAATGCTGATATCTTTCCCCCTCAGTTATGGGGATTGACCAGGGCCGTGGACAAAGGTTATACTCTAAAGCTGCACCTCCAATCTCAGACAGAAAGATTGTTGGCAAG